CTCCAGGTCCTGGGCACTACTCCTGTCCCCATGTGCCTTCATGACCTCAGAAAAATCTTCCAAGAACTGTGGGTTTGTGAAGGCAGCACCATACATAACATTGGTTTTGCAGGAGCGGGCATGATGCAGCTTTTGCTACATCAGGAAAATACAAATTTGAGGGAGCTGGGAAAGCAGTGACTGCTGTAGCTCGTCCCAGACTGAAAAATGTCAGTTGCGTTGTTGGTGTTAAAAACCTGTTTGAAGTGGGCTAGAAACAGGCATTGCATGTGCAACAGCTTTCTCATGTTTGTTTTCCCAAATACAGCACAGCTTCTTAAAAACCAGCGTTCAGTGGGGAGCCTCCTTCGATGCAGCTAACATGCCGGGTGTCGTAGGTGTGGGACAGCACGTGTGGGACGCAGCTGCAGGTTGTGTAAACAGCTTTTACAGAAGAGGTTTGAAAGCCTGCCTGTACGCTTCTCCAAATGCACTTAGCCTGGGTTATCAGGGCTGGCCAGGGTGTTTCCAGCCATGTTGGGGATCCAGGCTCTTCTGCTGTTCACAGCATGTGGCCACAGGTGCCATGGCTTCTGGGGCCCCTGATAAATTGTTCCCAGGTTTGGGTGACCTTGGTGGTGGTGGATGTCCTCAGCTCATCCCAGTTCATCCCCCTCTGCACTCATTCTCCTCCCCAGTGCATAAGTAAGGAGTCTGCAGACAGTGCATAAGCTTTCCTTCATGCCTTTAAAAGCTGATGAGGCAGGATTCCTCATGCCTCTCCCTGTGGAAAAAGGAGGATGGTTTGCCTCGAGAGAAAGGAAGGAGGGTTTTTCTGCACATAACCCCTAGCTGCTCAGCCCAGATGTAACTCCAGGTGAGATCTGATGCTGATCGCTGTCACAGCTAGCTTTTCAGCACTGCATTAAAACCATTGTGTTGAACAGCGTCGCAGCCATCCTCTCTCCAGGAAATGTCCACAAGATGGGGCCCCTTTCCTTGATTGTCATGAAGAAGGCTTGTAGGGGGTTTGGCTCTAATTACAATAATCAACACTCTGAATGGTCCCTGTCAAATCCTGTGGTAATGGTACACCACTGTCAGACGAAACCTGGCTTCCTGGTAAGTGGGAAGCTGTAGCCAGCAAAGCAGATGAATGTTGTCCCTGCATGTGGCAAGGCACTGTAGCCTGCTGGATTGTGGTAAAAGGTTGAATGTCACCTCCTCCTTAGGCCTCACTAGTTTTTCCAGAGGGAGCCCTCGTTGTGATACAACATCGTTGCACCCTGCAAAAAATTAATATTTTGCACTGCTGAATGTTTGTCGGTTTATCTCCCTGTACATGGCAAAATCAGATTGCTTTGGGATATCATTAAAACTTGATAAGCCCAATGAGTTGGAAGAAGCATGATTTGAATTGTACCCTGAGGGTATTCTGTTCATGCTTGCTCATCATGAGTAAGATCTTTTTTCTCATACAAACAAATATAAATAGAGATATACTGAGCTGCTTAAGGGAATTTTAACTGTGACAAACAGTATTAGTTCCAAAATGCTGAGTTAATCTCCTTGCAGTTCTCTGTTATTTAAACTTGATTGGCCAAATAGTGCAAAAATCACATTAAAATTACTCAGCAAACAAAAACTCAATTGAGGGGATGCATCTTAAGCAACCTAAGTACATATCACCAAAGAAGTAGTGTTCAAAGAATAGCAAGTAGTTAATCTGAACTTCTGCCATCCAGGCATCACCAGCGCTCATTAAAGGTAGGAGAAGCCTCTGTTATAGTACAGCTGCTTGTGGAGACCAAGTTTCATGTCTGGCACTCCTATCATTTGAGGATCAGAACTTGCAGAATGAGAAGACAGGGAGTTGCTACCTTAATGACATGCCATAGAGGAAGCAGGAAAAAGGCTGATGAGATGTTTCTGAGCAATGGGAAGAACAGAGGAATTAAGTTTCAAACTAGAGCTGGTTTGAGTCTTGTTACCTATTTCTGTGTTGATGCTGTAGCCCCTGGCTTACCCCTGTGGGTGGGAGAAGAGCACAGATGCTATTCTGCTATGGCTGCAATATTAGAAGTTCACAGATTTGACTCTCTGCCTAAACTGGGGCTTACCAAAATTGGTTTACTATTTGGTTTTGTTTTATAGAGGGAACTTACGTGATAGCCTAAATCTTGAAACTGGGAAGAGTAAATCAAGGCAATGGAAATGCCAGATCTGGGCTGTAAATATGTCATGTGTGGGCTTGATAAAATGTGACAAAGCATCTAAAACTGTGAGACTGTAAAGTATAATGAGTAAATTTTTGAAAAAAAAAAAAAAAAGGCAAGGCATGCAGCATTTTAAAGTCATGATGAAATTCACACTTCATAAAACTTTGAAAGAAAAGTCAAAAGAGATGGCAATGCAGCTGATTTCTTAGGGGGAGATCAAACCTGAGTAGTTGTTACGTTAAGAGTCTTCATGTGTTTCAGCTGCAGACAGCTGTGAACTGTATTTAATTTGAAGTTTCACAAATGCAAAGAGCTGATCTAAACTGCAAATGCAATCAGATTCCTGACCTAACAACCTTCTGCTCAATAAATTTGTGGTGACTGAATTACATATAGGTGAAAATTAGAATTTGGTTAATAAGCAACTTGTAAAATCCTGGGTTCCTGCAGTTTTTATTTAAATGTATTTTAGCTGTACCAGATAAATTATATAGGCTGTGGGGAGAAAAAAGTGTTTTGTTCCTGGTCTGCTCAACATCTCTATTAATCCTGTCTGTGAACTATTCTTACATACTTCTGAAAATCTGCATCCATGTCAGTTTAATTATTTTCTACCAAGTATTCACTCTGTTCAAAGAAAGGTTATACTGTGAATTTTGGCATGTTTGTAGGGATGGCCTCAGTGGTACAAGATGATTTATCCCTTTCTGTGAATAATTCTTAAACATGCTTTGAGTAATCACATTTTAAAAAAACCTTATTGATGCAGCATGTTGTTTTTGTTTATTAAACCTTGGCAATACTGTTATTTTTGTCTAAACACAGCTTGTGTTTTAACATGTATTTTTAAACAGATTTATTTTAAAAGAAACAAGCCTTTTATTTAAATAGAAATCAATTTTTGTTGGCTTACTGCTCAGATGAACCGCCTATGAGGGAAAAACAGCCAGCAAGCACAATGATAGGAGAATTGTTCTGAGTCTGGTCGATTTTACAGAGTGTGTTTGAAGTCTCATGCCTTTGCTTTCCCTAAGATTTAGAAAAGGTATTTCTGCCTCTCTGTAATACTGGCAAAGCTTCAGTCAGTGTAACCAGCAAGCTGAACTCCAGCTGTATCTTCTGGAGATTATGTGGTGGTTGATTGCAGAAGGTCGGGAGATGAGCTTTGTTCAAAAAAGTCACTGTTGAGAAACATCCTTCAAGGCGGCCAGAGCTTGGTGCTGGGAACCTCTTCACGTATCACCCCAAAGCATGTTGTCCTGTGAAAAGAGCATAACTGGTGTAAAGAGGCAGGATTTGTAGTAATTATTGACTGTGTTTTCTTGTTTTATTTTTAATATCATTTTACTGTGTTACACACATTTGTAGCAGGGAAATTGAAGAGGGGAGGGAATGTTGGAAGTGTATTAAAGGTCTTACTTGACATCCATTCGAATTAGGTAGAAAATCTAGAAGGGGATAAACGGTTATGTTATATTCCTAACAAAGAATAGTTAAGCATTGAAGAGTACATTTGATTTTTATTGCTGCATTTCACTTTAGTAAGGGGACCAGCCGGACCAAGGAATATCATTCCAGTGCATGCATTTACAAAATGGCAAACAGTGCTATTTTGATCAGTTAAGAGTGGTGGTGGAGCTTGGTTAAACAGCTTCTCAGACTAGGGTAGAAAAAGGGCTCTGTGTATCATAGAATCATAGAATGTTATGGGTTGGAAGGGACCTTAATGACCTTATGATGACCTCATGGACCACCTTATGACCACTTTCTGCTTGGTGGAGGGGGTAGAGTATGGGACACCAAAAGTTAGTTGGATTTAAAAAGATGCTACAGTGGTCTATCTCCGGTTGCAAGGAACAAGAAATTAAACTGAGCCTGAGGGATTCTCCTAAGAAGACCTCTTAGGTCATAAACTCTTCAGACACCTTTCTTCCTTTGGACTAGTTTCTAGTTTGCCCTTTAAAATATACACCTTTTGAGGTTATATCTGTGATGTATGAGTATATGTTAAATGCAAAACACTGGTGTGTGTCTCTATTCCTCTGACCACTCTCGGTTCAGATTACATACTATGTAACTCAGAGAAAACCCTCTGCTGATTCACCTTCTTCGAGTTGTTTTATTAGAATTTTTTGAGACACCAGCTAATGATGGGTTCCCTAGGAAAAGGGCAGTATGCAGCACGGGATACAGGGGACCAGCAAAGTGCATGTAGGCAGCAGCAGCAGCAGCCATGGTTTCCCCATGGAGGAAGGGAAAGGGGACAAGCACAATGAAAACTGGAAGGGAAAAAGTAGTCAGAAAAGCAGCGTGCTGACAGTGGGGTCTCACAGGAGTAACAGCAAGAGGTTACCAGGTGCCAGCCTGTGAGGAGGAGCTGTAAGACCACATGAGGGGAATAGTTATGAAGCACAGTGTGTGGGGACATCACATGGAAATACAATTATCACATGCTGCATTGTTCCAGGCACAAAGCTAGGAATGGTGGACTGACATAAGCCCTTCTTCTGGATTTATCGCTCTGGATAAATCTTCTGGATTTATGGTTGCATATCACATGGCTTATGCTGACTGACCTGGAATTAGTGAATATCTGTGGAACCAGAGAGGGCTGGTGTCACAAGCCTGTTTACAATAAACACCTGTAGCTTCACTTTTCTAACCTTGCAGTATCAAGTGGGTATTACTAGGTGTCTGGGGGGGCTCTGGGGACTGCATGAAGATTATGATCCATAATCACACTTGTTACTGCAAATAAATTATATGACTGTTTGTCCTTTTTGCTTTCCTGCAGATTCCTAGATGGCTAAAGAGTCGAGGCCCTGCCCGTGTGGTACTGGAGACAGGTTTGGCTATGAGGGTTGTGGGCAGGAAGTGCAAGTTGAGCACGTCAAGGCGTATATTTGCAAACCACCTGCCAGCACAGATAAAGCTGTGATTGTAATTCATGATATATTTGGATGGCAACTCCCAAACACCAGATACATGGCTGATATGCTTGCAGCTAATGTTTACATGTAAGAAATCTTTTCTTCTCCAAGAAATTCCACTCTTTGTCATTTCTAGCCTTATTTTAGAACTGTTATTCCCATATGGGAGAGGAAACTATCACCAGGACAGTTTGAGTGATGTATTTCCATAATATAAAAGCACAAAGGAGCATTGCTGTGAAACATTGCAGTGTACAGAATGCTTCCTTCATACTTTGCTGTTTACAGAAGTGGCTGCACACATAGAATGTGATGAATATCGAAAAAGCTACTCTGATAATTTTCCCAACAATGTGAGACGGTGTTAAAAATAGTGTGTTCTGAAACAGAAGTGTGTATTCTGTTTTAAGGCCTCTTTTAAAAATAGTCATTCATGCTAAATTATATGATAGGATTTTTAAAAATTGTCATCAGAAATATGAATGAATGTCATATATTTTGAATACGATATTAAATATGCACATTGAATATGTGCATATGAATGATTCATATGCACACAAGGGGTATTAAATACAGTCCCCCTCCCCCTGCAAATCTTTCACATTTATTTTTGGTGCCCTGCAGCAGTTAAATTCCAAAATGCAGCAACATCTTGCAATAACTGGATATGCTGCAAGGTACTCCATTTGCAGGATGCATTACAAACATTCATATAGGGTTGGGACTGGCCTGCAGTTCCAAAAAACAACCCTCTACCTAATTCCATAGCAGTCTAGTTTTGAGAGATGGTGTCTGTAGTGCTCTCAGCTGATGGAGCATGGGGGAAGTCAGATGTCAGCAGACAGTTGTCACATGGCTGAGCTCTGTCTGTGGAGCTGAAAGGAGCTCTGTGTCTCTGTGAGACAACGACTCTACCTTTGTGAAGATTAGGGTTTTCTCATGCATTGGAACAATTGGTCTATAGTCTGCTTCTTGCTACTGTCTTTCCTGAGGACTTGACATCCCCTGTTCTGCTTCATGATTGGAAGTGTGTTTGTCTTGTGACCGAATGCAACAATTCTCAACAGGAGACTGGATGTACACACCTTTCCTGCTGTGCGGGATACTGGCACATCGCTGGTATGACAGTGTGCTTCCTTATTACGGTAATAATCCACTCAGTCAAAAGTACCCGTTCTCTGATGAGCTGGTGTTTCTCCACCCTGCCTTACTTCCTGTAATTTTTCTCTGTGATTCTTGCCATGTCATACTTTTTGTAATACCTTCTCTCCCTCCGCCTGTACTGCTAATACTGCAGTGTTCTAGGGAAGAGGGCTGGTGTTTCCATTGCTCTAGGCAGGAGGAGAGTTGAGAGTTTTCAGGCAGCAGGGTCTGAATGAAGAGAGGTCGTTTGTGTCTTCCCTGATTGCTTCAAGATGCTGCTGAACTGGTGCACCAGTGTTTATTGAGAGGAAAACAGCTCTTTTTTTCCTAGTGCAGGATGGGATAAGGAGCTGAGAGAGCTGTATTTCAGAGACCACATTCAGACTAATGGCTTGTAATACGTTATCAGACTGGTTTGAGTGGGGAAGAACCTATTCAATGTGGGCTTGGGAAGGTTCACTTTCAAAGCAATGCGTAGCCTTTCTGACAGATACTTATTCAAAGGCTGTGCAATTTTACCTGTACCTTTCCAAACACAGGTATGCTGTGGATGTTACTGTTTTTGCCATTTAGTCATTTCACCATGATTATTGACATACATACTGTGTGTCTGAGAAGGGAGAGAGACAAAGACATTTAGTATGTGATAGCAGTTTCCCAGGGATCCTGTTGCTTCCCTGTGAGCTGAGCTTGGGAGCACATGCAGCAGCATCTGAGAGTGACCTAGTGATGGCAGCCTCCAGAGTTGCTGCTTGTATTATTACAGAGGAGACTGTATTATCCAGTAGTGACTGCACCATCACAACTCTGCTGCTGGTCACACAACACATTTCAGCTGAGGTCATCCTGAGTCAGGGTTTGGGCAACCCCGTGATGCAGGAACTCTTTAGCACTGAATAGACTCTTGCTGTACTTCTCTTTTTCCAGTCACCAAATGATGTCTATGGTAAAACACTCCTCCCTTTCTTCCCATGTGTTTTCCCTTCACTTGTTCTTTGCTGACCTCAGTCCATCAGGTGAGTTTTATTTTTCCTAGCTCATAAGTAAGCTTCATGATGTGCTATGTAGTAAATAACTATTTTATGTAATTGTCTTTGTTTAAATGGAAACCATTAACGGTGGATTTATGTTAACTGCTATTACGTTGTATGCAAAACCTAAAATTGTAATCAGGACCTAGTATGATCATCCTCTAGAAGATAATCTATTGTTTTACTGTGTATAGTTTCAAATTATGTAGTCAAAACAGGTAAAGTACTGGGGATAAAATATTTATATTTTCCAGATTTGTATTACAAATTGTACTACGTGGTTTAGTCATTGAAAAAAGCCTGTATGGATACTCATAAATGTTTTCTAAAGCTCATAGGCATTTCTGTAGAATAGTTAACAAAGATGTTTAAAAACATTACTTTCTCAGGAAAAAGAAATCAAAACAAAATTACACCTTGATGGAAACTTTCTGTGCTATGAAGAGCCAAAGAAGTCTCAGTGTTTGATTAACTCATTCAGTTTTTATTTTTTTGCATGCGTATCTGTGTGTGCAGATCCATCTGCCCAGACTTTTTTGCAGGAAGAGAAGCTTGGAAACCTTCTGATGACTGGTCCAAGTTTGATAATTGGCTGAAAACTCGAGATGCCAGAAAAATGAACAAGTAAGGTGCCAGGGAGCTGGCATTGCCTGCTGCCGTCAGATATTGCCTTTTTTCATGTATGTTTTTTTAATTTTTTTTTCTTTGAGATTGGATGCAGTTCATTTATCAGAGAAGGTGGCCTTTTTAATGACTCCTTAGAAGTGGATGGAATGAGTAACCTTTTATTTTGCCTTGAAGTTAGTTCAAGGACAACATTCTCAGTAGTGGCTTAGTGAAGAGTTTTATCATCTGATGTTGATATCGCAGACTGCCTCAAAAAGCATGGTTTAAAAATGACCAGTGACACAAGCAGTGAGAAAGCATAATTCTCATCTTCTCCAAGTTACTTCTCCAGGTAACAGACTGATACTTAAAGATGTTGTATGGAAAGAAGAAAAGAGTTTCTGATTGTGCCATTGTACTCGCCCAGCACAGTGTAACTGGCCCCAGGTAGCTGATGGCTGGATCATCTGTTGTCAGGGCGCAGTGAGGGCTGGCAGCTCCCTAGGGAACAGGGTGCTGGGAGCCAGGAGGAGTGTCAGCCGGCAGTGCACAGGTCCCCTCCCATGGTACTCCAGAAAGATGGGCAGGGCAGGCACCAGGGTGGCAGCCAGAGTCAACTGAGGCAGGTCCAAGGTCAAGCTGGGAATCAGGAAGCTGGGGTCAGGGGCAGGTCTGGAGACATTAACCAGTATGAGATACAGTCCAATGATCACTAGGCAGGTCTGTAGTGATGTGGCAGGGCCGAGGCCAAGTCAGGAAGTCAGTCTGTGGGTCCATGGTCTGGACAGGGGTCTGGATCAACAGAGCCCACGGCCAGGCACAGGCATGGCTGTGACAGACTGGGAGCTGTAGCTCAAGCAAGGCTGAGTGGCAGAGTCTCAGCTTAAAAGCAACTCCCACGGAGACAGGGGTTGTCAGCCCTTGCTGAGGCTGCCCCACAGCGCTGTCTGGGAGCCTCTTCCTGTGATTACTAGAGTGAATGGAGCAGCCCTCACCAGCACTATCTCTCAGTCGACCCTGGGTCCTGGCAGCAAACCCTTGGGGAAGGTAGGCGTGGATGTGTTCATAGAATCCTAGAATGGTTTGGATTGGAAGGGACCTTAAAGATCATCTAGTTCCAACCCCCCTGCCATGAGCAGGGACACCTTCCACTAGACCAGGTTGCTCAAAGCCTCATCCAACCTGGCCTTAAACACCTGAACACAGATTTGGCATGGAGCCTCTTCTTTTCATTGTGAAGAACTTTTAAGACCAAGTTTGCTGTAATTTGAACTCATGGTGTGTTGGCTGCCTTGAAAAAAATGCTGTGGACAACATGAGGCAAGAGTCCCCTTCTAGAACCTTAGTTATGTTGCCCAGCTACATAGCAGTGGGAGAATAGAACTGTTAGCTGCTGCAACCTTAGAGTCAAACTCTTGGTTTAGCAAAGGCCAAGGAAAAGGTACAAGCCTGCACTTACATGCAGACTATATGCTCTTGTAGTTAGTGGGATCAAGGATATCTTAATTAGCTCCTAAAGATGTTATCTGGGCACCACTGCTGAAGAAACTCTGTTGGTTCCAGTTCTGTCCAGCCGTTGGTGTAACTGCATCCTTTTTCCTGCATTTCAGATAGCTGACTGATAGCTGAGTTGTATTCAGCAGTGTTGGCTTTTTAATTTCCTGGATGCACATCAGCCCAGTTATATTAGAATGTTGTTTGGTTTCCTTAACTCATAATTTCCTTCTAGTAATGAAGTCTGTAATACCTGTTTTAGATTTCTCTTGCAGATTTTGAAACAGATTTTACCGGTGACTTCCTGAACTGTAGCAGTGTTTGCAGCAGCTCTTGTTTTGCTCTTTCCTGAGAGGATCTAACAGGTAGTTAAGCTACTAAGTAGGGGGTAGTCAAACCTCCCTACAACAGGGCTTCTTCCTCTGCCTCAAAGGTAGACCATGTGGTACAAATTATGTCTCCTCACAGCAGAAACACAACACTTCTGAAGAGAAATAGGACTGATTGCTTCAGCTTGCTGATAACACCTTGGCATTCTTTTGTTATTGCATGTGTCCTAGGCACAATGATAGAAAACCGTAACTAGAAGGGACACTGAGAGTTTTCCAAGTTTGACTCAAAACTGAACAGGATGAAACCTTTGAAGGGGGAGGAAGAATGACAGCTGGAGCAACTGAAAAAATAGGCAAGTGCCAACTGCTGCTCTTCACTGGAAGTGTTTTGCTGTAGTTTGTAGCCCATGTACGTTCTTGGGCTATTGGACTTGGACCACTACAGGATTCCAAGGTCCTTTGCCAAGCAAGTAACTTGGACTAGAACCTTCTGGCTTCTAAATCCTGGTGTAGGGGTAGTACCCTGCAGCCATTTGGCTGTTTGTATGATAAATGACCCCCATGTCCTCAGTGAAGAAGTGTGTGTAGGGACCAGCAAGAAACAGAAGCTGGTTCTTCACATGTGAAGCATTCCTTGAGGAACACAGCTCAGGCAGTGATCTGTGGCCTGTCCTGGCTTTGAATTTAAGCTGTAGGTTAATTTTAACTTGTTAATGTAAGCAAGTAAAGTCTCCTGTTGTTTCAGTCCTGCCCCTCCTGCGTGCAGCACTGCCGGAGCATTTATCAGCAAAGACCTGGCAATGGCTGAGGTGCTCTGCTGCCTGAATAACACACGGAGGAAGCTGCTGGCAAGACAGTAGTGAGAAAGTCAGACTAATTAGAGACCAAACTAATTAACTTCCTGGGAGAGCAAATATCTTTCTTGGACTGTTGGGAGTAGCTATGTTGAAGGTTGCTGGGCTTAGGTATTTGGTGAGAAGGTTATGGGAGACATAACTGAATCATTTCCAGAGAGCTCCTCTCTCAGAGGGGTCAGTTGTTGTGGAAACTTTTTAGTTTGGAATCTGTCCCCTCCCTGCTGCAATAGGAAAGAAGGATTTGGCTCTGCCTGATATTTCTTTATTTTCCTGGCATCTGTGCTTGGGGATTCATATTTCAAGTGTCAGCTCCAGTGAAGAAAGTATTTTTTGGCACTTAATTTGCTTTGTTGTCTTTCTGTGTTGATGAATAATGTGGTATTTTCGAGGCTGATGTATTGATGGCATATGTAGCTTGTGTGCCCCAGGGGGGCAAGGAACTGGGGCTGAAAATACAGTCTTGATGGGATATAAAAGACTTAACTGCTATCTCTCTCCCACTAATACTTTCTCTTTACTGGCTCTGCAAGGTGACACCTGCTTCAGGGGTGAATGGGTGTTTTCAGAATACAGCATCTGGGCAAGGTGTATTTCAAGCTACATTGTAAATTCTGAAAACATCTACCATATTTGTTACATTGACTTTCCTGTAGCAAATATCTTAGAGTTGTCAGCATTTTAACTGTCTAGTGAATAGTATTCTCTAGAAAGGTTTTTATTACTTTTTCTATCTACATTTAGAAAACAAAAATTCATACAGCTTCTCATAGAATTTTAAGCTTTTTTAAATCTTACGTAGGTGTTTAATCAATCATCTACTTTCCATCCCTTTAGGTTTCCTTTCATGTTGCATTTTTATTTAATTCCATTCAGTTCCTTTTTTTTTTTTTCTCTTTCTGATGATTTCAGATTAGCAACCCCTAATACTTGTCTGAAATAGTTATTTATTTAAAGTACATGAAAGAAAATATAGTAGTAGCATGATGTGGGGACACTTACATGCATCTCTACATTTTCTTTTCATCTTTTCAAATTCTAGTTTTACTATGCGTTCATAATTTGCCTTTGCTTATATGTTCCAGAGAAGCTGATGCTGTCCTGAAATATCTAAAGGAACAGTGTGGTGCAAAGAAATTAGGGGTCGTTGGTTTTTGCTGGGGTAGTATTGCTGTACATCACCTGATGATGACATACCTGGGATTGAAGGCTGGTGTATCTCTGTATGTACTCTATTTAAGCCAGTTTCTTAAGATACAGACTGAATACCTGAATTAATAAGACTTGAAAGATGCCTTCTGTGCATGCAAGCTTGAGTTCTTTTGAACTGACTGGGAAAGTAAATGCTTTAGGAAGTAGACCAAAATTTACATTCTGATAACGTTAGCAAAGGGCAGCTTAGCTATCCCAGCTTCTTGAGCACAGCATAAAAGGAAAACTGGTGTTAAAACAACCACAATCTAACTTCACAGAGTAGCTAGATCAAAAATAACACTCTGCTCCTGGATGAAGTTCTAGCTGTGCAGCATGAAGAGCAGCAGTAAACAGGAAAAGGGAGCTAAATTGGGAAGGTGACCAAAGGACAACATGTCTGTCTGTCCCTCTAGACCTGTAATAAAGACATGGCTGCTATGACCCATTCTGAATCTAGGAACAAATCTTCTTTACACATCCTTTCCTCTCGGATGAATGGAATGGAATGGAATGGAATGGAATGGAACGGAATGGAACGGAACGGAACGGGACAGAATATTTCAGTTGGAAGGTGCCTACAATGATCATCTAGTCCAACTGCCTGACCAGTTCAGCACTGCCCAAAATTTAAAATACGCTATTAAGGGCATTGTCCAAATGCCTCTTAAACACTGACAGGCTTGGGGCATCGACCACATCTCTAGGAAGCCTGTTCCAGTGTTTGACCACCCTCTTGGTAAAGAAATGCTTCCTAATGTCTAAACCTCCCCTGGTGCAGCTTTGAATTATTCCCACAAAAAATATCTCTCTTCATCAGCTGACAGCCTGATTTGAAGAAATAATGCTAGATCAAGTACTTAAGCTACACAATATACATATGCATGTGTATCTGCTTGTATTACGTTCTTGTATTTACCTACCATACAGAGATGGTAGGTAGGGTTCAGGAGATTGGATATATCATTCTACAGAAATCACAAGCCTAAAATTTAAGGACACAAATACATTGTTTGGTGGTGAAGCTCATTTGGAGATTAGGCTTTTATGACTTGTACTCTCATGGTAGATGTATATTTAACAGGTAACATAAATGGGCATATCTTGTTTCAAAATTTGTGGCTAAGGTTATTCAGATGGGGTACTACTTTCTCAGATTACCTTTTTTGTGTGAAACTCTATGGGTGATTTCCTGGTCAGTTTAGGAATTCAAAAGTTCAATGCAATCTGCAGACAGGGCATTTTAATGTGTGGCTTACAAACCATGGTTGCTGCTGTCTTGGTTTAGTCAGTTTTTCTATTACCCAATGACCCCTGCCCAACCCCTGGGGCAGGGACATTGGGAAAAGGAAAGGAGACCTGTGTGTAGAAATGAAAACAGATTTAATGAAATAATAATAAGAATTAATATAAATACTAATACTAATATAAAATACATTACATTATACTCAGCTGACAAAAGCACAACAGTCGGAACAAACAGGAGAGTAGGCCACGGGAGAAGAATGACAGGCGAGGTCCTCCAGGGATGACAACCACTGAGGAAGAGGGTTGTCCCTAGCAAACTTTCCAGTTTATAGTGAGCATGATGTTTATGGTATGGAATAATTCTGTTGGCTGGCTTGGGTCAGCTGCCCTGGCTTTCACCCTTCCTAGCCTTAGCTCCCAGCTAACTGTAAACTGCTGAAGACCTTGATCACTGTGGAAATCCACAAACCATGGCTGGCCACAAACTAAAACAAAGTGTCTTATCAGCTTTTGTTCTCACCAAATCAAATGCTGAAGTCTTCTTAAAATACAGGTTTTCTGACCAAGAATTAATTCTATGATTCTATCTCAGCAAAACTGGGACAGCTGCTTAAAAAAGAAATGTTACATGTGTTTGCATAATGTGTCTTGTTACGTAATTTTTCCATCGATGATAAACAAAAATTTCTGTGTTGCATCAGCTCAAGATTGCATCTACCTCAGCACCAAGCCTCTGTCACTGGCCAGCAGTGGCTGTGTGGGGAATCCCCCCTCTCACTCCACATCCTGGCAGCCTGAGAATCTGTCCAGCTGATTCCTGAGCTGGATGTTGCCACTGGAGCAGTGTGCCAAATGGCCACCAATGGACCTAGCTTCTGCAAATTTGCTAGTCCTTTTTTGAACCTGCTTGAAATACTGTCCTCTAGGGCACCCTGTGACAGTGACTTCCACAGTTTAATTATGACTCCTGGGGAGAAAGGCTTGTGTTCATTAATTTGAAACCCGCTGCCTAGTATCTTCACTGGGTGCTGGTACTTCTAAAGTTGTAAGAAAAAAAAACCCAAAAAAACCCCCAACAATATGTGTCCCTTTTCACCTTCTCAGTGCTACTGATAAAGACTGTTATGTGATTTAATGGGAAGAAAATGTAATTTAGGAAAGCCTTAATTTTACTAGTGACAATCCCTCAAATTAAAGTAATATACTATCAGAGAAATATACATCGTGTTGTGTCATTTAAAAACAGTCAACAGTATGTATTAACCATCTCTCTCTCAATGGGATTTTCATGTCTTTTGCTTTTTCCCATCCATGTTTTCCTCCTTTACGTGCTGCTAATGGCACTCTGTCTTTCACAAGGTCTTCAGAGAATGCTGGCCCTGCGACTGCTGATGGACTGTTGCTTTTCATATAATACCATTTATATGAAATGTGTAAATCCAGCTGTTACCTGGGTGACACAGCTCTCAGAACACATTTTTCAAGGAGAAGAAGGTAGAGGTCTGGAAGTTTATTGTACCTTAATAACCCCGGTGTCAAACCTAGATAACTCCACATTAATGGAGTTCCATAGTATTAGATGGTTAGTTCATGTGCAAGAGGACAATCAGGTCATATATTTAAAGAACAGCAGCCATTCATAAATACTGAAATGGCACGTGTGCTGTAGCACTAACACTGTGACAAAGCAAAAAGGAAAAAAAAACCAAATGCTGCTGAGATACTGTGAGTTGCTGCAAGTACAGCCAAATCTTCATGACAAAACCTAAAGTCATTAAGTAAGAGCTGGAAATGCGAGATCTAAAAGAGGTACGTGTTTATAGTACAAAGTGCACCCAACTGCATGTACAGAGGTCATGAATGTGTTGAATTAAGTTTTGACTTCTAAGTAAAATAACTGCATGGATTGTCTAGCAAGGAACATGGAAACAACAGGAAATCAAAAGCCATTTAATTTCTACATTTTAATGTTAATGTTAAGATAAAAGGGAATAGTCTGATGTGTAAAGAAGAATTTCCAGAGCCACGTTACTGTGACTGAGGGAGTGGAAATGTGGTTAAGCAACTCCAGTGGACAGAAGGTTCTGTGAGCATTGCTGTCATTTCTCTTTTCTAGGAATGACTTAAACTGCCAATTTTTCTTGCATTTATTTTACTACTGTTCTTCGAGGTTGCTGTGGAGTATCTAAGCTCCCTGTGTGCTGTGATTTGTTCTTTGTACATTACAAGTGGGAAAAGCAAAAAAAACCAAACCAAACCAAATGGGTTGGGTTTTGAACCTTATGACTTCACTCTAGAATTCTTTGGTAGGCTTTTTTTTTGTTCATTTGTCTTTATTTTAGATATTGTAAATAAATAGCATTGATGAAGTTATTAAAAAAATGGGAAAACAGCTTATATGTGAGGACTAAATTGTAAGGCTGGTTGCTTTCCCAAGGCAAAAGTGTAGTAGACTAACATGTGCTTTTAGTGCTACTTTTTAGATGTGCCTCTGAGGAAACAGTGACTTTTGGCTTGCTAATATCCTGAGATAAAGCTCTTTAAAGAATAATCCTAATAATCCAATAAAAGGAAAATCAGGAGAATGGGAGGGATACAAGGATGAGGCAGTCACTTTAAATCAAAAGAAAAAAATGTTTAAAATGTCTTGTGATATCATAAAAATGTATCAGCATTTTAACCATTTATTATAATGATGTGCACAGCAATCTACAAAACTGTTACCTTTTTACATTATTTATTTTCACTCTGAAAGAGAAAATATTTTTCCTATACTATGTAAGCTTTGTCTTGTATAGAGCTTTGAAACTATGTCTCCACTTCACTACCTCAAGTAAGTTAAAAAGAAGGTCTGGTACTCAGCTGTAGCAGTACTCCTCACAGTAGCATACCTTGCCTACCCAAAGCAATAAAATTAACGGCTTTAAAAAGAGTGAACTTTCAACTTTGTGACTGTTCTGTACACAAAGATGAAGGCAGTGACTTACGTAACTCTTATTTGAAGAAACCTGATCCTTGCAGTCACCCCTTTCGTTTTATGAGTTAGCACTTTCTGTTGGGATCACGTTCAGTGGTGACCATCCACACTGAGCTCTTGCGACTTGCCTTTACTACCTTGCACACTTGCTGTGCTACAGGTATGTGTGGGTTTTGTTTGGTTTTTAAAAATCTTTAACAGCTTTTTCTCCTGAGAAATGTAAAACAAGTGCATGCTGAGGTCTGACTCAGCATGTTTGGGGGACTTTCATTTTGTCTACGTGCTTTTTTGAAGAGTGCATGCTCATTTAAATGCTATCAAGGGGTTCCTTTCTTCCCTAATTGTTTGAGACGATGGTTCAGAAACCTTTTAGTTTCCCTCCTGAGGTGAGGAAGACCTCAAGAGGAGGACTCAGGAGATTCTGTTCAAAGAGCTGCACAGCAATATCTTTATCTTTTTCTGGTTGTAGGTTCAAATTTCTGAAAACTAAAATTATTGTTTGGTCTTCAAATAAATGCTCAGGTGCTTGCAGGTGGAGATGGTGGAACCCCAAGGCTGTGTGTTTCTCCTAAAAGACTAGCTTTGATGGATGTAAGAGAGGGGGATTCATTTTTAAGGGATGTTTCAGTAGCATCTCAGAAATGGAGAAAGATACTATTTGCATGTAATGAATACTATGACAAATGTAGAGGCACCAAAATATTTTGATTACACTACAAAGCTTCCAGGTCTATATGGCTTATAAACCATACAAGTCAACGCTACCCCTCAAAGGCTGGTGTCTGGAGCTCTTTTCCTCAGCTGCTGTATGTGCATCTTTAAATGCTTCATGGTTTACATTTTGGTTTACATTTTCTCAGATAATGTGAAAAATTTGCAATTAAAGCTTTTAAGGCTATATTGACTGGTACAGGCATTGCATTTCTGTTTCTGGAGTTCTGATATATATGTTTATTTAATATTCAGTTGCTGGTTTTGATATATTTTAGTCTAATCAAAAGGAAATAGTTTATGGATGGAAAATTATTTATCAACTCTTTTCTAGTATATTTTTAAACTGAATTTTGTCTTATATGCTTATCTATTACTTCATTTTTTCCTGGTAGATTTATTTTAAATTAGAAGTCCTATATGTGAGACTACATGTAGAAAAAGCCACCTATAAGTAGGTGTGGCTTATTAAAAAAAAAAAGTAGAGGATTAGTATTAATGTGTGCCAGAGATAACACAGCTTTTAAATAAGATACACCTTATCTTGAATTGACCTGTGAAAAATAAATCTCCCAAGATCACAACCCTAGCCCTGGTAATACTGCTTGGGATGTTCTCAATTTTTGAAGTCTACAAATCCAGAACATCTTGGTCCCTGGAAATCTGTGCAAATCTCCTGGCTGTAGGGTTGTTTGCTCGCTTATTTTCCTAAAGTTGTCCCTTTAGTGCCACAACTGTGTAAGTCACACTAGTTCAGGGACTGTTCAGTAACCTGCTTTTTCACATTTGTCTCTGTGAGTATATTTGGCCTAGTCAAGTTTGAACATCCTTATTTCTGTACTAGCAAAATTTTCTCCGTACACACAGTTATCTGTAGGGAGTTTAAGCAAAGCTTTATCTAAATTCTCTCCACGTTCTTTAATATTTTGGAGATACTCTGTGCATATTCAAGTATGTTATTCAAGTAATTTTGCAGTAATATGAAGACAGTTCACCCAGCTGGTTCACCTAAGGTCAGTGACACAAAATCATTAACTTGGGAGCAAGCCCTACATGAATCTGTGTTAGATTCAACTGGCTTTTTTTGACCTTTGTGAATTACTTGTTTATTTTTGTTTCAGCAATAGTTTGTAAAAAATTAACCATGCCCTACTGTTACCTTGTTCATAAAAATTTTCATTTAACTTAAGGATTTTTTTCCTTAGGTTCAGTTTTATTTTTTCCTATCTTGGAGTTTGAATGCATTTCTTATTTAATATTAGATAAATATTTCATACTCTGGCTTTTACTAGTATATTTTTATTGGCACCTTTCTCCTTCAGAAGTCTGCAATATCTGATGCAAAAGCTGGTTTAGAAAAAGAATTTCTTGACACTGAAAAGGTCAGATATGGAATATTTTAAATTACTGGAGAAAAATATCACATTTAATCTAAGTATAATTGTATCTTTACACAATAGTTGTGTTTTCTTTTTTTTTTCTTCCCCTTCAAAATTCTAAGACCTATATTAAGCCTTTACATTTTATAGTAAAAAAAATTATGCAATCCTGACAAGGACATACACATGACGAAGAGAAATGGCTTCATCACTATTTAAAAAATAATTTGTGATGGTTGCCTCGCTGGTTGGTCTTGACTTTATTTTTAATGTATTACTGTAGGTCAAAGAAACCCTAGTTATGTAGGAGATCCCCATGGAAGAGTTCACAACATAAGTAACTCTAAAAAGATTGTTATTTATAAAAAACTACCCAATGAGCTTATCGACTGAGGTTGCATTTTAGATCAAACAGTAAGCAGTATGTTCACAATACTACTGTAATGATTGAAAGATTCAGTAATCTGTGATACCATTGTATTTTGATCTTTTTCAGTATGGTATGCTGGGTTATTCACAAGTGAATATTTTTTGGGTTTTAGTATCACAGATGGCTAATGAATTGAGGCCCTGCCCATGTGATATTGGAGACAGGTCTGACTATGGAGGCCGTGGGCAGGAAGTGCAAGTTGAGCACATCAAGGCGTATATTTGCAAACCACCTGCCAGCACAGATAAAGCTGTGATTGTGATTCATGATATATTTGGATGGCAACTCCCAAACACCAGATACATCACTGATATGCTAACAACTAATGGATACATGTAAGAAATACTACTGTTTTCAAAGTCTCTTTTTAATAAGAAAGTTTGTTGAACCAACTATTTCCTTTTTATATATAAACCGTACAAACACAAATAATTTCATAGCCTTCACTTACATGTTTCTCTGAAGAGTTTCCTGTTTGTTAAAACAGTTTAAGAAGTCTAACATAGTTGAGAAGTCCTACTGTAATGAGAGAGTAGGCAAGCACAGAAGAAGAGAGGGGAAACAGAAGAAAATCTTATTCTGTACCTTTCATCCCCCCTGACCCTGAAACAGCTTCTTCCTTCCCAACATCACATCTGTGCCACCTTACTGTTATAGTAAAAATTCTAGAGAAGCTGAAAGTCATTCCGTGAAGGTAAAGTGTACCAGCTTCTGCCAGAAAAAGAGACAAGTTCTCAAATCAGTGAAAAGCATATTTGGTATCATCTTGCCTGTATTACTGTGTTAGTGTTCCTTCTAGCCCAAATGTACATACCATGTAAATGGTAGGGTTTTTAAAAAAAATTCAGTAGGATACCATTAAGGATTTTAAATTGCAGTTAGCAATTTGTCAGATTAATTAATGAATTTTAACAGGGAAAAATGTATCTGGCAGTTATGCTAAGACTCCTTATTAGACATAGAAAAATAATGAGGGTTGCTTCTATAGTGCTTTGATGTAGATTAAATTCTATGCGTATTCAACAAAATGAATTTGTTGTATAGTACTCATCAACTTGCCTTTAATACTTTCTTAATATTATTTCATGGGCATAAAAATGTTTTCATTTTTCTTTCAGAGCCATCTGCCCAGATTTTTTTGTGGGACAAGAAGCTTGGAAACCTTCTAATGACTGGGCAACTTTTGATGACTGGCTGAAAACTCGAAATGCCAGCAAAATAGACAAGTACAACCATTGTTCCTTGTCCAGCGAGTGGACATCTTTCTTTTGTTGAAATTTTTGCCTCAATAAATATGTAGGATTAGATCCTAAATTATTAATGGATCAAATACAGCTGGATGGCCACAAACAGAAATTTCATGCAGCTCATGGGTCAAGTTCATCTTTATACGAGTGGTGCTTTTTGGAGAAAAGTAGAACTTTGAACAAGAATAAAATCACTCACTGTTTACCTGTGCAGAGAGTAGAATCAGTTTGATTCAGTTCCTGCAGGCAGGGATAACTTCCATGGATTTCTGATAGGGTGCAAATGTAATCACCAAACACTATTTAACTAGGGAACATTGGCCCTGCTCCCATCAGATCTCAGTTAGTTCAAAGCATACTATTTTACCCATTCTTCTAGCTGTATTTTTCCCATTTTTATCTGACACGTAGTTTGATTGCATAATGTTACTGTTGATTTTGAAGCAACAATTTTAAATTTACTTCCAGAATTTCATAAAATATTTGTCTCCCCAATAAGAGATAGTTTACCTATAGTCACATTTGTGATAATAGGATGCTCTTGACTGGCTGCACATCTCTTAGACTTTTATTTGTGTTAGTCTATAAGACAACTGTTGCCATTTGTGAAATGGGTTGGCCTGTTGTTTATACAGTCACCTTAGGTTCTATTAAGAGTGGTCCAGGAAAACATATTTTCTCCTTTGTCTTCTGCCCTGGAGTTTCTGTTGTAGTCTAGAAATGAATAATAGTAAAATATTGACCCCAGCCAGCAGCCAAGCACCTATACTGCCGCTCACTCATTTCCCCCAAGAGGGACAGGGGAGACAATAGGAGGAACAACAGCAAGAAAACTCACGGGTTGAGATAAAGACAGTTTGATATGTGAAGGAAAGAGGAAAAAACAGGAGTGATGCAAAGACAATCACTCACCACCTCCCACAAGCAGAACAATGCTCAGCCAGTCTCAGAGCAGCAGCCACTTTGGAGGCCAGGGGAATATAGCTAGAGCCTTAATTTGCCTTCATTTACATGTTTCAGGGAAGTTGATGTAATCCTGAAGTACCTAAGTGAACAATGTGGTGCAAAGAAGATTGGTGTCATTGGGTTTTGCTGGGGTGGAGCAGCAGTACACCACCTGATGCTGAAAAATCCTCATTTAAAGACGGGAGTGTCCCTCTATGGTAAGTCTCAAATGCCTATTACATTCTGAGCAGATGTGACTGGTGCAGAAACTTGTTCTGTAGGAGTGTTACTGTAAAAAAAATCAGTGTGACATCCTATGGAAGAAGATTATTTTATTATACAAAATCATTAAGCAATTTGATTTTGCACACTCACATGTTTGCACTTAATCATAACCAGCAAGATCTACATACTCAAGTGGCGTGGCCAGGATTGCTTCTGTGCAACATAGTGTACAAGGACACTAAATGCCAAGGCCTCGCTATGGCTCAGGTTCCTCTTGGCTGGCAATGACTAAATGGTTTCTGGGCACATCTTTTATATCTTTTAGGAGCAAGAAGTTACTATGAGGTGGTTCTTCACCACAATATTTCTCTTTCTTCAGTCTGCATGAGTCTTGGGACAGTTTGCTGCCCACTGTCTGGTTTTCATTGTTTGGAAAACCTGTTTGACACAGTCCATACTCTCTTCCCTTGCTGGGCTAACAGGGAAGACATGGCAGTAGCAATACGCTGCAACCTTTTTGCTGTCTTTCTGTTAGAGTGCAGGGTCTTTTGCCAATGAGTCATCTGGGCTGGGGGCTGTGCGGGCTGAAGACCTTCAGGTCATGACATGAACACCTTATTCCTAAGTGTTACTCCTGGCAGTGACCCTTTGTTACTAATATGAACCATTTTTTAACAATCTGTTTTAACACTTGCACTCTCACACATCCATCCTTAATGCATTTATGCTACCTGTAATATTTTTGTTATAAACCTCTGTACTTCTATATAAGCCAGAACAATTTATATTCATTTGAGATGAAAGGAAGCTGAAGGTATTTTCCCAGAAAGTTTATGGGGACTATTTTGCTGCACTGATTTGCTGATCAGCTGAGTCAGTTCAACAATGCTACTTGCTGATTTTTTACTTTTCTCTTGTAATAATTTCAATAATGAAAAGAGAGGCCAGGCTGTTAGCTAGTTAGTTTTACTGTTACTTAAATTGAAATATACTTGAATAGTCAAAATTACAATATCAATTTGTTATGAATTTATATCAGTATAAATATATGTACAATGAAATCCTAGCCATGTATCTAGAATGATGAATATTTACACTTATCTTAAAAATAGCCATGCCAGGCTAGAGGCAAGCAGCTCTGAAGTGTCCATCTTTCACAAGACCCTGTCTCTGACAATAGTCAGAAGCAGATGCCCAAAGAAAACCACAAGAATGGGGCAGGTGTAACAATTCTTCCCTGACTGGTCTCTCTATCTTCAATGACATCCCAAGTCACAGGAAGTTCTCACAACAGAAGGGACTTCTAAGCAAAGCATGTTTAATTCCATTACAAGCTGATCAGCTTTAACTGATCAGGATGTCTTTTAGTTTGACTATAGCTTTGGTATTTATTTAACTACTTTAAATAGCATGACTCATTGTATAAGCCTTGCCTTCTTCCCTAGGAGTGATCAGGTTCTTTGAGGATAGATCCAGTTTGCTTCATCCCACCTTCTTCATTTTCGCTGAAAAGGATGAATACATTCCAATGGAGCAGGTGAGTTTCGCATCAGAGATATTGGTCTTTTTAATGCTTTTCATGCTTGTTTTGTGATTTGATGTTTAATTAAGAGAAAGTAGAAAACTAATTTGTGCTTTTCTTCTTCTTTCACTACCTCTTATGGCTGTTCTACACAAATTTATGTTGTTTATCCCCAAATCAAAAAGTTCTACAGTGACATTAAAAAATGTTTTCTGTTTCTATTGCAAAATACTGATGATTTATATATGAGAGTTCCCAGGAGGAAAAGGTCAAGAATCCAAAGGAAGACTTCTGTTAAGTTTAAGATAGGAGACCCTCTTTAATCATAATGATGGTGCATAAAATCAGCAGAAAGTTTCCACCTATAGTTACAGGAGAATTAAAAAATCCTGTGACTATCCTTTTCCTTCTCCCACTGTCCTGCAGAGCTTCTCCTTTTTGTTACTCTGTCAACAGCCTTCCTGGTGAGCGCAGCTGGAGAATAATGGGAGAAGATGATTATCTACCAAGGGGATCAATGAGGAAGACACACTTTCATTGAGTGCTGCTGGCTTAATTTTCCTGCCAAAAATGTCAGTAGCTTTTAACTGCTGATATTGTATCTGTGCCTCTCATCCCTCAATTTCAAATTAATTCAAAATTTTGTCCCTTTTTTTAATGAGGTCTATCAGCAGTAACTTGTACAGTGATCACTACATGCTAACCTTCTCATGACACTGAGCAATAGGTGTTTTTACCTTTACAGGTATTTTTACAGTAAGCCATATACCTTTTTTTTTTCAGTTTTATAAAGTCACATGCTGTTATTTTACTGGAGAAAAAAAGCCTAGTTAAATAAAGGAAGTATAATAATGGAAAAGTATTTGCGTATGAAATTAGTAGAAGAGAAAATTATGGCAAGGACACACTGTGTCTGTCTCCCAGAAAAGTAAAAACCAGGACAATTTCAGGACTGTAAATACGTAACATGTTAACTCCATACTCAGCCAACATGGAACATTCTGTGTTACAGGTCAAGCAACTGGAGCAGAAGCTTAAACAAAACTGTAAAGTTCATTATGAAGTTAAAATTTACCCTGGACAGACCCATGGGTTTGTACATCGCAAAAGAGAAGATATCAATCCTCAAGATAAACTTTATATTGAGGAAGGAAGAAAGGATATGATCAACTGGCTGAATAAATATCTTTAGCACAAATAAAATAAATCAATTACTGTAGGAAATCAGAAAATAATACAGACTATGTTGATTAAAATGTTCTTAAAACCATCAAAGTATTTTGTAAAACTCTTTTGCAGTAACACTACTTATTTTCATTTGTTTTCTAGGTAGTTGCTTAGAAATGGCTTTTTCCTTTTGCCCTTCTCTCATTTTTGATGCATTTACAAATACTTTTTTTACCAGTTCTGTGTTACTTGATAGCAGGAAGCTACGCTGCTGCCTTAGCCTGTCTTTGGGGTGTGTTGTTCGTTTAATCTTGTCCTTGGACACATGCCTGTGTTTCCTGCCCTTGTGAGCTGCCTTTTTGATTCTGAAACACTTGCAGGCATCTGGATGCAGCTGCAATAGCCTCTTGCTGCACTGTCTGCCCTTCCTCCATGTCAGGATCATCTGACATTTAATAATGTCTCTTTCACTAAGCACCAATGTCCTCCACTCCTTTCTCCCTCACATTATCTTCATCAGAAGCCCCAGCAGCAGCTGAGTTTCTGATGCTGCTCCTTCCTTTTTCTTCAGAAAAGTGCATTTGGATCATTTCACAATCAGCTTGACACAAACCCTCTGTCAGCTCTAATGGTATCAGACAGTTGCCCTACCTTCTGCCCCTCATTCAGAGTTGAATCTGAACCAGCCTGGATGACAGCCTTACTTCCTCACCTCCACAGATCCTTCCAGTATCACCAGGTTTCTCTCTACCATGATTTAATTAGGCATCAGGATTGGTAAGGCACAGCCCGTCCCTAGTGACTAGGGGAATGTCACCATGTTTCTGCTCTTTTGGTCCCTCTCAGTGTAATTCACAGTAATCATGTGGTGAGGTCTTGCCTGCATCTGTGATGCTGAGGGAATAGATGTGACTGAAATATTGTACTGAACACAGCCCAATTTCCCCTCAGTGAAATAATTGTTGAGCCCAGGGAGCCCTTCAGCTTTCACAGAAAATTGTCTTTCAAGATGCAGCCCCTCAGTTGTTTCCATTGCTCCACGGTATTTTTTTTTTTGGCCTTACCTCTTCCAGCCATGCCTGGCAGCTCCCACATGCAGTCACTTTCCCTCTGGCCACCCCCCAGCCAGGGGCACATGCCAGGACAGCCCTCAGTGGTCTGTGATGGAGCTGCAGAGCCATGTGTGTGTCCTTGAATGCCATAGTGCCTCTGTTTCAGAGTCTCCTGCCAGGTGGGTCCCAACTCAGATCCCACATCCTCAGCAGTTCTTCAGCCATCCCTCCATCTTGAACCTGCTTCTTCATGTCACTCCTTCCTCTTCTTCCTGCAATGCACCATGTCTCTCCTGTAAGAAAATAGTTCTCCCTGTACCACATTGAGTTGATATTAAAAACAGGATCCTCTCTTTAAAAAAGCTTTCATGCAGACCTCTGAGGTAAAAGCTTTCCTTGCTCCTTGGCTTATGCCCTTGGTCAGTGATTATTGCTGTTCTCTGGGTTGGGCACTGCACATCGTGTTCTCTTGTTATTTGATTTCAGGAGGGATAAGCCTGTTCTTAGTGGGTCTAGCTGGTGCAGGGAAAGCCTCTTTAGGTCTACAGGCTGTTGTTGCCATGAGTCATGCTGGTAAAAACAGTCCCTGCATATCAGAGGTGAGAAGTTCCATGATGCTGTCCTGGATCCTGCCCTTGGACTGGATCTGTGAGGCTTCCTGGTGACCTACAGGTGGAGGGAAAGGCTGACCAGTGACTTCTGTGCTTCCTGCCAGTTTTAACGTGGTTCTGGACTCAGCATATAGAGGAGAAACTGTTTCACGGGGGAGGATTGCAGACACTCCATTCACTGGTGCAGGCATGTCTGATGTGTGTGCCTGTGCAGCTCGGGGGCAATGGGAGAATAACAATGCACCAGCCTTCCCAGAAGAAAGCAACGTGGATATGTTCTTCAGATAGATAGTCTGTAAAGTGTGAATTAAATTTTCAGCTATGGATTCATGCCCAATTTATCCGGGTTGCTATGAGAACAGACAGAGATGATGAAATTGAACTCCCTACAACTATTGTCTCACATGGATTTTAAATAAAAGAGCCTTGGTTTCTCAGAAGGTAATATCTTGGCTGGCAAACCATTCCAGCTTGGTTTTTTATGTGAATGAACAGATGTCTCGGGGAACTGGGATAAGCTTTGCCAAATTTCTCCTGAGACAAGGGAAGACTGTGAAACTGAGGAGTATTTTGTCAAAATTCATTGTCCTTGGAGAATTCAGAGCAGCTTGCTGTACGACAGGTATTGCATTTCATTATCTAGTTGTTTTTGTAGAAATATGGTGTCTAAGGTGGAAAACTCAGAATTTTGCCAGTGTTAACATCTATTTTGCAAAAAGCCATACACATATTCTCAAAACTCGAGTTTGAGAAAATGTTTTGTGTCTAGAGACCACTGACTTATAGGTGTATAGGTTAGACATTGCAAACTCAGGTTTGTAATATTTGGTTTTACCAAACTTAGCAGCCTTGATATAAGGGAAATTAGCTGCAAAAAAACCACCAGGGAGGCGATAGTAGACATATGTAAGACATGATCATGCAGATGCTTTTGTTCTCCTGTGCATTGTGCTGTCTTGTCAGTTTCTTTCTAGTGACTTTAAAGCCCTTTGATCAATTCCAATCAAATCTGACAAAACAGTGAAGTCCTTGATGCTCTTTAGTCCTTCTACATTTCTAGAAAATCTGGACGGCACAGAGGAGACAGACTCACTGCACAGAGCAGAAGTGTGGTGTGGACTCATGAGTTCTTTGTATTATTTAGGCTGCTGGCTGGCCGGTCAGCACACAGAAAGCCTGA